CACGCACGCACGCAAACAGACACAGCTATCTAGTACGTAGGAGGGAGCTGTCAAGTCGACTGTTAATTATCAGTGGAATGTGAGGCTAACTTCAGATCTGATCTGAAAAACCTTTTGTCTATAAATGCCTCAAAAACACAATCCCATCTGATGAAAGCTGTTATCCGTGTAAGGTAGCTCTGTGAAAGTGGCTGCTTTTCTTCCGGGGCTATCATTCAATCTAAGAGATGTCAAGACTTGAATAAGACGCGCTGAAGAAAAAAAAAAAAACAAAAAAAAAAACGCCTCTGGCAGCCGTAACCTGACACACATTAAGCACTGATGTTTCCCTGACGCACTGCATAAATCTTCCTTGGGACAGTGTGACCATCTGCTAATTGAAAAAGAAAGGAAATAGATTTACTGGGAAGCTCTGGCGCTGACAGAGCGATCCCCAGGAAGCTGTAAAAGGTGAGAAGACGGACCGACTTTCTCACAGCGGCTGAGCTGCAGACCGGGATGGTTTTTTGACTCCGGGCTGTTTGTCAACACATAAACGCCGGAGAAACCGTGAAAGCCTTAAGATGGTTACAAGTGAGAGGGAGGAGAGCTGCCACGGGCCGAGCTGAAAACATTCTTGCTGAATGAGTCACTTGCCTTTGGCCTCCGCGGTTCCACAACAACTTTGACGGGGAGAAGGTCTGTGGAGCAGAGGGAATTCAAGACGACTTTTAAAAACCCAGTTTCGTCAGATTGCAGAGTCTGTATGGGGGCATAATAGTGACGGAACTTTGGGGTCTTCGAAGGGAACAGAGTCTTCGGGATTCAATGGACCCGTTTATGAAAACGTATCTAAGAACAAGCCGCTTTATGCATAATAGAGTTTTATTCTAATTGTTTTTGTGGGTGTAGTTCACACACACAAAAAAAGTTGTCAACTTAATTTAGTAAATAACAGCGTATATTTTCGTAAAACATACAGTTTCTAAAATGTTTTAATTTGTGTGAATTAATAACATTTTAGAGCTATTTGTAACACTGCAACAAAATAAAAGGAAAATGTAACAAACGGTAGAGGCAGAAAGTTGCCTTTGGCAGAAAATCCTTTTCTGTACAATTAAAGGCAACACACACAGGTAAACAACACTTAACCAAAACAACAACAAACAAGAAGAAACCCCCCTATGGGGTTCCATTTGTATCAAAAATAAGTAGAAGTCATGTGTGTAGATGTGTAGTTGCTATGTGTCGTTGGTCTATGTCGTTGGTCTATGTTGCATGTAGATGATGCATATGTAGATGTTGCATATGCGTTCGCTGCATAAACCCCATAGGAAACCAAGATAAGGGAGCGCGATGTGACCGACCTCAGCCTCTCTGTCGCTGTCAGTGTAGCAGTCGGGTTGCACAAAGTGCCGCCGCCGCCATGACACATAATGAAACAAATGTTGAGCGAAGAGAACGAAGTCTGAGTGCGTACACATTCAGGCCTTTATTCTATTTTATTTATTCACCTCTTGAACAAAAAATATTTTTAAATTAAGTAGAAATAGTGTTATAAGCAAGCATAGTTGTAAAAAAAAAAAAAAAAGATGTTTGCCGTTTAAGAAAATCGTGTAGTTCGTGAAAACCACTTCGCCAGGTAGAAATATTTTAAAATTAATAGTTGGGACGTCCTGACGTCCCCCCTCACCTTCACACATAATTACTGCGATGCCCCTACCGCACAGAGATGTGACGCCCGGCGATCCACCAAATGCAACATAAAGTCCCAAAACCTGAAATCTTGACAATGGCCTCCCCAATAACACAGAGATTTCTCCAAATGAGCCGAAACTGACATCGATAATACAATTTTGCAACTATATAGTCTATATGTAAATAGATATGAATATATATTTATATAATTTTTACATAAATTTTACATTGCCTCTGTGAGCACCAGCATCTACTTTGCACTCTATTCCGCAGTCTGCTGAGCTCTTCTTCTGTCCTCCTCTCAACATTTTTTTTTTTTTTTACTTCGTAATTTATGGCGCAGATGATGTCAGTCATCAATAAAACATCTGTGACTTCTGGATTCACATTTAGGGATTGTGCTGGCGCACAGAGTTGCCATGGAGACTGAATGCAGGCAGTTGGGCAGATATGGCTGAGCGAGTTGTTGGAGCGCCCCCTGCTGGCTGGGCTTCAAAAGATGTGACCGATGCTTCTACTGCAAGTCACGTTTGATCTACAGACATCTACAAGATCAGGGGTGCCCAAGTCCAGTCCTCGAGAGCTACCATCCATCCTGCAACTTTCAGATGCATCCCTGCTTCAACACACCTGAATCAAATGAATGGCTCGTTATCAGGCCTCTGTAGAGCTGATCCCGGTCTGTTGGAGTAAGGATACTAATAAAACTTGCAGGATGGTAGCTCTCGAGGACTGGACTTGGACACCCCTGTACTAGACTGATAACCAGCTATGAGAAATGTAATCCTACACATCATTAGAGATTGGTAATATTTGCAAGCTTAATTGTTTTCCTGAGTTTTTTTTTTTTTTAAAAAAAGAGTTTAAATCTAATGCTCTCCACTCCACCGCTACCACCCACCGTTCAAAAAACAAAATAAAATCCAAGACTCGTCCAACGGCAAGCACATCAGCAGCCATTCAGCAATTAACACAACGGCACCCCTGCAACCCCGCTAATTAGGCTTTCATATCAGAGCGTCTCCCTGTAATTATGGCACAAACTGGTCGTGCAGCTCCTGCTCTCCGCTGAAACGCTCATTAATCGTCCACTGTGCTGTCTGAAAGCTTAGTTCAGAGGCGAGGCAGGAAGAAAAAGAAGGAGGAAGAGGAGACATCTGTTGTTAATTTTTACACAGTGAAAGGCATTGTCTTGGGATTGAACAACAACCCAGATTGTGATATAAATATATATAAATATATTTAATTGTTATTGTTATTTTTCCAGCATCACTGAGTATTTGGGTCTGATTTCTTTCTAATTGTTGCTTTTCTTTCTTTAACCTCCTGATTTCATGGAACTGTAGCTGGCGGTTGTTTGGTCCTGTTTGAGGAATGTATTTACTTCCTATCATTACACTTCTGGGAAAATATTATAATTTTCACCCTGTGGGCTCCTCTGTGAGCTGTCATTAGATTTAAAATAACCACCAAGTATTGATACCACCAAGCTGTTACGTAAAGGCTTTGCTCAGAGCAATGTCAAGGAATACAAATACAATCTGGGAAAGACCCAAAGCAGATTACAACCAAATAGACCTCAGTAGTGCTTAAAATTCATGATTTCCTCATTTTTCATTTCAGTCCTAGTTTTCTGTACAGTTAGAAACTCCAGCTACTGATTCAGTTCAGATTTTATTACTAAGAGAGGAAGTGTGGTTTTGCTTTTGCACCCAGGCTCCACACCACACCGACGCTAACTTAATAAAAACATAAGGAAATGGTTTCAAATGCAACAACAGCAACACGAAGAATTGATCCATAAGACGAATGAAGATCCAATGAAGAGGCAGTTTAAGGCGCGTTGCAGCACAGAGCTCTGCAGAAGCACACAGTGAAAACATTTACTCTCAGTGTTCCCACGTTTTGTTTTGTTTTTTGCTGTGAAAGCAGAGTGCCAGCTCAAAAGCACAAAGGTTTGATCACATCAAGGTGACAGCTGTAACCTCTCTTTGCCACAGAGCCATCGGATATTATAATTAAAAGTCACACACTTCTAAAGTCCTGTTGTGGGACTGAACGGTACACATCTGGGACATAAAAAAAAAAATCTAAAGTAAATCTCTCAGCAACCTCAGAGATAGAAATAACTCCATCTAAAGCCAAAGGAAACTTTCAGAAGTATTTAAACCCCCACAGCTTTTTCCATTTTTTTTCCCCAAATACAAACTTCAATGTATTTTATTGCAATTTTCAAATATTCAAAGTGTTGTGCTTTGTGGGCCCCTCCCATGTAGAGCCACTTTTCAATGCACGTACAGCCGTTTGAGTACAGGAATGTCAGGAGTCTTGAACATCTACAGACTGCAGTTTTTGTGGAAATTTTTCTTTGGGAAATAACTTAGGTTCATGGAGAGCAGCTGTGAACACCAATTTTTGAATGTGAACAAAAAAATGATGAATTAAGCTCTGGACTTTGCTAGATTTTGATTTTATCTACATTGTTCTATTGGAACCGTGGTCACATGTTTAAGGCTGAAAGATGAATCTCCACCCTGGTCTCAACTTTTATATTCTGTCAGGTTCTCAACCAAAACTTACCCAAAAACAGCTACATTTGTGTTGAAATTAAGTTACACTGTTTACTAATTGGGTGATTTATGGAGTCAGTTGAGTGAACTTGATTTTATTTAGCATGTCAGAGTTAGAGGGGCTGAACAGACGCACGACATGCACCATTTTCTTTGCACTTTACGATATTTTGCTGCTTTTTAGTGGTTTATCACCTAAAAACTGAAAATGCCTTGGTTGCAAAAGCACATCAGTGAAAGCTATTTCAATAAATGAAATGATTTCTCATAAGTGAAAAACAATATGTTCTGATTTACCTCTTTCTCTTGATCCTCCTGGTTTTTTGGGGCTCTGCAGTTTATGCATATAATTGCTTTGTGCCAGAATGAAAATAGTGCAGAATCAAAAATTAACACGCTTATTGATAGATGCTTTATTTGTGAACTGCTCTGGTGTGAGCTTTACCCTTCGAGCATCTGGTCTTAAGTGGGTTAAAGGGATTATAAAGCTGAACCGTCGATCTGCAGCTCGCTGTTTGGGTAGAAAAAGATCTCGCGTGGCTTACATCCCACCTCTGCCACTACTGGTTGAGAGGAAACCAGAGGGAGGTCTCACTCTGCTGCCATTTCAACTGCAAACACCGATCAACTATAACCAAATAACTTTGGACAAATTTACACTTTTCAGTTTTAATGTCGGCTTTACGCATTTGCAGGAGTTTGCTTTGAGGTTGTTTGCACTCAATCAAGAAAATGTTATATGTGGAAAATTCATCAGAGCTGGCAGGTCACTGGGCTTTGCAGTGCAGCAAGAAGTAAACGCAGCAAGTTTCCCAGAACAGAGAGGAAGTCGAAACAAAAAAAATGAATACAGCCACGCCAGGGAAAAATGCGCCTGTATCCATCACCTTTTTTTAAATTATTTGTTTCATGTGTGTATTTTAAAAGTTTCAACAATCAGAAGTGTTTTGAACAACTTGCATAATTTATTGAAAGACTCCAGATTTAAATGTACAGGGAACAACATTTTAATCTGGTCTCAGCCTAAGGAGATTCTAGTGAAACAAAAATAAATAAATAAATAAATAAATAAATGAATTAAAATGTCAACTGTTGCACATTCACAAATAGAGCAAAACTTTAATAGATATAATATTTCTCATATTGTGATTGAAGAATCTCTGTTCAATGTGGCTCAATTCCTTCATCTTAGTACCTCAAGTTTTTGGACTGTAGATCAGAAAATGTAGATTCCTCAAGAATAATTTTGCACATGATTTGAATCTTTGAATCTGTCATGCACTGCAATATTTTCCTTCCAGCACCTATACTGCCCATGGTACACGGGAAAACATTCATTTGCTGGACATGCAAGTAAGAGAAAACTCATCCTAATGTTTTTGCAAGTGGCTGTGCTGCCACCCCGATTGGCTGGCACCCTGGACAGTGAGCCATGTTTTCCATATTTAAAAGAACATTGAGTATTTTCAGTTTGTAGGCGGACATTATATCTCGCTACAGTCAAAAACCCCGAAAGTCTGAAAGAAAACCAGAATTGATCTGCTGTTCTAAATGTAAAGAAAAAACACCTGATCACTATAAACACTAAGTTCTTGATTACTCACTCAGTTAAATGATCTCATCTCACCTATCAAAACAGAGACGGTTCGAGTAAATAAACTCGAAGATAGAGTTACAGAAAATGCCTCATCTGTGACTCCATTATCGAGTCCGTTTCACAAGATGAAATATGACAAGGATGAGGATCTGCTCTGTAAACTGAGTCGGGTCATGTGGCTCTGTAGATGTGAGGAGGGCTCTCAAAAGATTTCAGGGTTGATCTTCTGGAACCGTCATGTGAATACCACCGGGTGGAAAATGACAGATACGACTGACAAAAACGTTCAAAAAGGCAAATAAACGTGATGGTTCAGCGGCAGCATTGACGATCCTCGTCCTCACGTTTCTGCTGGTTTCTCCTTCTTCCAGCCTAAAGTGTTGTTCAGAAATGTTCTCTCTATAGCAAGATTTAAAAGACATTTAACTAATTATGCATTATAGGTTGTTCGTGCATGCTTCATTTTCCTTTTTGCAAAAGCTGAAAGAGAAATAAAAAAAAGTAACTGGCAAAGTCTAAGAACTCAGCCAAAGTCTTCAGTGAGTAATATCAAAATACTGCCTTACAGTTTTTTTTTTTTAAGTCCCCCCCCCCCCATCATGCTCAAATTCAGATTTGTTCAGTTCAATTTTTATTTGCTTGTGCAAAATATCCCCTTTTCTATATATTTAAAAATATTTTTCTTCAACATTAACTCTGCCCTGATTATTGGTCACCAAGCCGTCCAGGTTTTGACTGACAAGATGGCTGACTTGATCTAGTATACAAGTATTTCAACTGAGGCAACCAAACAGAGTGCAAAGGCACAAACTGCAAAAAAAACATTTAAAAACTTTAGAATATACTTTCTATTATCATTTTTTTATTATTATTTTAGCTACATTTATTAGGAACACAAAGTTGTTGATTCTAGACCTCCAGCAATGTTGCAAAACTTCTCTAAAAAGATATTGCATGAGTAAATAAATATGTCCACCTACTGAAGACACTGACACATTGTTGATAAGCTTACGCAATGTTGTGGCAAATTTTTTTAAATCCTATATTAATTTATATGCTGTGCTTCCAGAAAAAAAAAATTCTAAGGTATATTTTAAGGTGAACTTGATCAAACGAGAGAGAAGCAGTGGTGACCAAAATAAGAGGGCGTTCTATCTGAAATAAACTCTAGAATACTCTGCTGTTAAGCAGTAGGAAAAAACCAGGAAACATGACTCAGATGTGTTGTCTTTCTGCTAAACATTTTTAGCTCATGCCTCTTTAATAGACTTTAAGAAAAAACATCTTGAAACGTCACTTTGTTTGTGTCAAACTGTGTTAGTCACAAAGAAGTGGCTTGATTACAAACAACTTGTGACAAAGTGCTTAAACACCAAGCTTAAAACGGGTCGCCTTAAGGGCATCCACTCGTTTCCTGTCTAACTCTGCAAAATAAAGCCGCCAGTGCCACAAAAACCTTTGAAAGAAACTGCTTCTTTAATCGGTTTTCACATTTTGTGATGTTATCACTGGGAACTTCTGTGAAATTTATTGAGATTTTATGAGCCAGAGCTACAGAGCGTGGTAAATTATTGTGAAATGACGGGAACATAATGCAGTTTTGACATAGGCATTCATTTGTATTTAGTCCACTGAATGAAGTTTTATAGTAGTTAAAATAGTACGTTATACAAAAATATCCCAAATTTTGAACATCTCAAGGAGTGTTGCTCAATTCGTTGTCTAAACTTTGAAAGAGGTCGACACAACTGCAAATCTACTAAGAAATGTCTGTCTGTTCAAACCAGAAAGGCCGAGAAAAGAGAGCATTAATCGGGGAAGCAGCCAAGAGGCGCCCGGTAAGTCAGGGGTGAGAGTCTCTGTTGACAGGACATCTGTTGATCATGAGTCATTTACTCTACAAAAGTGGTTGTTATTTAAGAGTTACAAAAATAAGGCCATTTTGGGGCGAGGGGGGAAACAACCCAAAAAGAAGTTTGAATTCAATCTTTTGACGAGCCGTAAAGAGGACGCAGCAAACATGCAGATAAGATCTTTTTGCCTACATGCAAAACATTACATTTGGCAGAAAGCCAAGACTGCACATATATTATCACACCACAACACAGTGGTGGCAGCATCATTCTGTGGGGATGTGTTTCTTCTGAAGGGAGAGAGATGCTAGTCAAAGTTGATAGGAAGGCTATTATGGAAGAAAACCTGTTAGGGGTGATGTTATGCACTTTCCAGACACATAATGGCATTTTATAGCATAAAAATGATGTGTACATCAAGCATGGCTTAAAAAAATTTGTCTTCCACTTGCACCAGATGCACTAGCCTTGTAAAAAAAAACAGCCCCTTGTTCTGCACATGGCTTCGTATGGAGAGTCTGGACCCTCTGCTACTGAGAAAGATTGCTTGCTGGAGGCGTGGACACTGTTGATGTCTTAAATTTTACCCAACCTAATGTTTGGGTAATCCTCCAGTTCACCTATATTAAGCTAACTGGAAATTACCTGCGCTCTAAACAACCATCCATGAGGCTCAGGACAGGTGTTTGATAATTGCTACTGCCGCTAGTCTGAAGGAGCTGAAGGCACAGTGGAGGGTGCTTTTGCCTGTCGATTAAGGCACTGAATATGTAAGGACAGTGTTGGCATTTTAATTTTTTTATTTTTTGTTTGGATTAAACGACTTAACAAATAAATGTTTCCTGTAAAAACGGCCAGAGTGACACCTCTTGTTAACAGAGGATCTGTGTTACTACAGCTCCCTCTGTGCCTGCTCCCTCCCCTCCCCTCCCTCTTCTCTCTTCCCCTCCCACTCCACGCTCTGAGATCAAGCCTCTCTTCCCCTCTCCGAGCCTTCACTTCAGTCAACATGGCCACACTTGTAACCTCCACCAGGTTCACAGACGAGTATCAGCTGTACGAGGAACTCGGAAAGTAAGCGACCGACAACAACGCTGCCGCTGCTTTTCTTGTTGCATTCACTCTCTCTCTGTGTGTGTGTGTGTGTGTGTGCGCGTGTGCGTGTGTCTACACGTTTTCCTCCTCTGTGCTGCTGCCGCCGCCGCCGCCGCCGCTGCTGCCATTGTGTGCGCTTTACTTAGTGTTGACAGGGGCTGGAATGGGTCTGTCAAAAAATAAAACAGGGGAAGGCTGCGGGCGATCTGCCGTGCAACAGTAAGCTGTCAGCGGGCTCCCGTAAGCGCTGCAGAGGCTTGTGTTTAATCCCGAGTGTGCGCGTTTTTTTTTTTTGTTTGTTTTTTTAAGGTGCAAGGCGCCATTGTGGCTCTTTATTAAAGGTGAGGAACACCTTGTGTGATTTATCTGCAGGTAGCACGCCTCGATACTTGGTTTGCATTTGCCCCGTTGTCTTGTGCCATCTTCGCTCAGCTCTGCTTCTGTGCATTCCCAAAGCAGCCTGCACAAGAGTCACGATTATTATTATTTTTTACATGTATATATATATATATATATTTTATTTTTTTTTATTTTATTTTTTTTTTGCTGCAGTAAGATTTTGGTGTTTGCAAATTGCAATGCTTAGAAACATGAAAGGCGCCACTTTAGTTGCAGCGTATGTGCAGGCAGGGCTACAAAGCCACTTTGTAACATCTTATCTCTAATAAAGCTGCTCCACCTACCAGCACAGCATGACTTTGAAGGAGGCGTCCGTGCAAACAAAAAACAAAACAAAAGAAAAAAACAAATGTGGTCAGGCTGCGTAGATAACTGTTACTTCTACCTTTCACTGCAGCCCCTCTCACATTTCCTTCTGCTTTTCCGGTTATGCACTAACAGACCAAAATCCTAAACCCAATAGGTACATCAGAGTGTGTTTAATATGAATGCCGTCCCTCTGTAGGTGAAAATTAAGCATGCCTGGCTTTCAGTGTGTGTGTGTGTGTGTGTGTGTGTGTGTAAGTTCAGCAGTTGTTCATGTCTGAAGTGGTCCTCCTCACTGCTCTCTCAATCTCTCCGTCTCCAGGGGGGCCTTCTCCGTCGTCCGCCGCTGCGTCAAGAAATCCACCGGACAGGAGTATGCTGCTAAAATCATCAACACCAAAAAGCTCTCCGCCAGAGGTTAGTGTGAAGTCAGTGTGAAGTTTCTGCTCGCTGACGAGGTGCTAACGGTGCAGCAGCTCAGCGGAGCTGGGTTTGTTTCCTGGAGAGCAGCGAGCCGGACGCAGGCGTCTTCCACTTGAGAGAGGAGATTCCCTGAAAAGCTGGGGGCCACTTGGCACGGCCCCCTCATCCACCCCCCGAGGTGCTGCGCTTTAAGCCTTCACAGAAAGAATCATTGGATTTTGGTCTCTTGTCTGCAACCACTTTTGGGGGGGTTGTTATGGTTGGTGTGCAGCAAGTGATTGCACGTGCTCGAGCCTGAGCTTCAGATATCCTCAACTACCGTTTTTGCAACTTGTGACAAGTTGTGCAATCTGCTGATGATCAGAAATGTTTTAAGACGAGGTTTGAATAAAGACCGACTTCCTGATTTTACACATGTTCTCTAGGTCTTCTGTCATCTCATTTAAAAAAACAACAACACATTGACCTTGATTAAATAGTAGTTCTTGACAGCAACAGATAAAACATCTAAAGTAAGTTTCAAGAGTCTCTTCACAGCCACAACTATCTTTGTGGTTTGTCATACTGATTTTTGCTGATCTTTAGTTAAAGTCCTGTCGATCCTGACTGAATCCAAGTGTGTTTGTTCTTGTTTAGCGTATTAAGGCCAATATTTAAAAAAATATATATACAAATTTAAAACTGCAGGTTATCAGACATAGATCCGTGGCTGGGAAAAATTGGAGCGTCTTCAGTTGTTGATCCACATTCATATGACACAAGTGGCTAAAGCAGAATGAAAACTGGAACCATTTAGTTATGGGGGGAGGGGGCGAAGTGCAAATGTTTATTTCTTTTTAAAGAGTTATTCCAAGTTCTGTCGGTGAAAAAAAACAAAAGTGAGGTGCGTTCACTGATGTAGGAACAGTTTATGTATTGGGCGCGCTTCTAGTGACAAAGGTAAAAAAGGCAAAGCGAGATCCCATCCTGTTTGTGCTCACAAGGCAGACTCATCAGTTGCAGGAAGTCGGTGACATCGGCCAGTTTAGATTAAATATGGCCGCCGTGCATTGAGAAAGTTCCAGTAGTTCCACATCAAACCTGTCACAAGTAAATTCATTATAAATTTCCATTCTTGAGAATGTTCAGCCTCTGTTTAAGTGTGTCGAATTCAGAGAATGCTTTGTGGTCGGCATGTATTGCTCTGTGGTGGTTAAGAGACGACAGTTGCTAAAGTCCAAGAATATTTGAGACCCCACGGAAAAACGATTATTTTAATAGTTCACACACCAAACATGTCCTAATGTAATTAACAAGCAGAGTGAAAATTGTCTTAGCATTACCAGAGAAACATTTACAGCCTTACTTATTTCCACTCTTGGCGGTACAGCCAATCAGTGCCAAGGAAGATAAGTGGTGCTGCTGGATTGGCCGATTTGAAAACGCCAGTCAATAGTGTGTCAAGTAGCTTTGCGTCTAGATAGCACAGCTCGCCAAGCTGCATCCTGTTTTAAGTATTTTAGATGAACCCTATGGAAAAAAAAATGTGAATAAAGGGATCTCTTATTTTGGTGTCACGTTCCACAGAAACAGTTTCGAATAGGCGAATCCACGAATATTGAAGCATGACAGGTGGGTGTCAGCTGTAGTCCTACAGGTTTTCTGGTTCAGACATGCTCGACTCGGGTTTGATGTCATTCCCAGATCTGAACTCTGACTCCCAAACAACCCGGACCTATCATTTACTTTTGGTTATAATAAACTTTATATAAACGGAATTAGAACTGCAAGGATAACGGCCTACACCCCCACCTTCTGGCAATAGTAGGCAACCAGGGTTGTTAAGGTTAAAGGTCGTGAAAAACATTGGAAATGACTCATTTATAGTCCAGGCAATACGTATGTAGGCAGTTGTGTCTCAGCCACACAGGTGTGACGTTAGAATGAATGATGGCAGTGGCAGGATTAGCAAAGCATAAACAAATAGTAAATGTCTCATTTATCACTAGTTATGGCATAAAGCCATGAAGATGCTGTATGGTGCAAATTACTTATTTTTTCTTAAAGCATATAAACTATCTCTTGACCCCAAAAATAATCATATGAATATTAACATAAGGATTTAAAACAAAAAAACACTGTAAACTAACTGAGACTAGACATTTTGTAGTTTGCTATTGTTTTTTGGGGAATGGGATTTATTCAATTTAAACCTTGTCACACTGGACTTTAAGTTAATATTTTTTACTGTGATGAGTAATTATTACAAATCAGGGCGGTCACATTTAAAAAAAAAAAAGTCACAATCTATGTATACAATATTAGACGACATTGGCAAAATTACTAGACAAAAAGTGCATTGCCATATTCCATCGTTTGTTGTTTTGTGTTCTTCTGTGCTATCTCTTCTGAGAGATGAGCAGCCTGTTGTGTTGCAACAAGTTTTACCCATTGTCTTTAATTAAATTAATTTGCATTTGTAAATGTCGGACTTAAGAGCCGGAGCCCCGATCTGATATTATCTGTGTCAATCCCAATATTGGAAAAAAAAAAAATCTAGATTGGGTATCGCTAATATTGTGCCCAATCCATCATAAGCGCAGCTCTAATTAGTGTAATGCTTTGCTTTGTTCTCGTGCTTTATTACTTATTTTACATTATATTCAGAATTCCTAATTGCGCTTTCTGAACCATTTGAAAGGTTGGCTGCAGTTTAATTTTTACATGTTTGACCAAGGTAGTCAGCGTATTGTCTCTGTTTGAGTTTCTCTATTATTTATTTTGCATTGCGCTGACTGAGCGAATTAAAGCTGTTGTTTTTACATGTTTGTGAAGCCAGTGGTGTTTTTAAATGTGCTGTACTGCCACAGAGTTCCCAAGTACATTTTTTTTTTATTTAGTACATTCGGTATCGCTCGATGCTAAACCTCTGATATCGCTATCGATATCAGAAGTGAAAAAAGTGGATTGGTGCATCTCTAGTTTTTTTGCGTGTAAAAAAAAAAAAAAAAAAAAAAAAATCTGATCAAGATTAGAGACAAGCACTTTGATGCATAAATATTGATAGGATAGTTTGCTTATTAAACTATTGAGTCTATCTGAGAACCTGCAGGACTTTGTCTTTTTTTCCTATAGTCTTGAGGAAACGTCATAGAAATACTGGAAATCAGTTTTGACTTGGGAAATCCTCTTTGGCGCATCTCTGAAAATTACCCCTCCGTTCTGTTCATTTTTGGCTTGTAGCTGTAGGAACCCCATGTTTACATGTCTTTGCGGGAGGTAGAGCGGCCGGTGGTGGGAACACATCCCTGCACACAGCCGTGTAGCTGCGCAGTTTGCCTTGGACTTGGTCGTGATGCTACTGTGTTTCCTAACACTTGTTACGTCAGAGAGTTTGATATACAACCCAGACTGTGTGTGTTTATGCCGTGCGGTGCGTGTGTGTGCGTGTGTTCACCAGCAGCAGCAGATAAACGCATATTCAAATACCACCTCCTGTGTTTTGGTATTTGCAGCAGATTTGTTGTCGCCGTCTGCCTGCTAAGCTGCGCGTGTGTCACAGAGTCTCATCTGCCATGTAGCCAAATCCAAGCATATTTAATTGTTTTGGTCAGCATGCGCGTTTGTGTTTGCACATGCATCTCACTGCTCCTCCTCAAGTCTTGGAAGTTTGCGTGTTCATGCTACATACTGTGTGTGTGTGTGTGTGTGTGTGTGTGTGTTTGCAGCATGTCTGGCCCGGTAAACATCAGAGCAGTCCGCCAAAGGCTTGACTGATGATGTGAGCTGCAGATTAGGGCCATTTCTGAACCGATTGGGCTGCCCTGGTCTCCGGGGAGCCAGGCTCTTTCCACGCCCATGCGATTCTCTTTTTCCCTTTTAAAGCGTTTTTCTTCCGTCCCTCTGTGCTTCTGTGTCTGTAAACAGATGATTGATTTGAGCAGGGATCTATTTTAAAAAAAAAACAACAAAAAAAATCCCCTTTCACCAGCCCATTTGACGGCGTCTGCATGTTGACGCTCGTCCGGAGCCTTGCAACCCAGCGACGGCGGAGGTGAAACTCTTGGCCCAATTGGTTGTCTGGCAGAGAAACTCGTATCTTTGTGGCTCAATGCGTCAGTTTTTTTTTCTTTGTGGTCACAGATCTCATAAAAAAAAAAAAAACTTACTAACAGATGGCAACTTTTTTCTCTTACATGCTACATTTTTATGTTTCTCACATCATAAACGTTGTTATATTTAACCACGCAGAAATGCCTATGTGAGTATAGTTTCCTATACTGTCCTTCGGTGCACAGGGCTCATTCATTCACACTGCAGTGATGTGAAAGTGACGTTGAAGCATGCATCCCTAACAGATGCACCAATCATGCTTTTTCTTCCTTTGTAGCAATTTCTGTTTCCATTCCTGAGTCTGTCCTGCCGATTCCGATTTTATTATATATTTTTCTTTCTAAAGTGTGTAACACATAAAACTGACAAATGGGCTACGGTTTCTTTTTTTTTTTTTTTGATGAAAGTGTTATTTTTGAATCCAACAGAATAAAATAACACTCACATGCCATCGGCTGGTGAATTTCTAACCTGTAAACGTGGCTACTTCTGAGTTTTGACGCATTCAATGAAAGCAAATATGTGATTATTTTGGATCTATTGAGGATTTGTTTTTTTTTTACTTTTACATGTTGTCCTAAATTATCTGATGTAAGGGTGTTTGCAGTGGACAATAACAAACACGGCTATAGAGAGCTGAGCAATAAATCAATAATAATATATGTTGTGATCGACATGTGATCAGTATTAATAAATAATACCTGTTTACTGTACAGTTCACAATCAAACTCTTGATTCGGACCAAAAAAGCGAACACCAGTCTGCCTAAAAACCCAGGTCTCGATTCGGTTGAAGTGAATTCTGGTGCGGCTCAGATGCATATGTGAACGCTAAACGGTCCGTAGACGGCTCCAAAAGCAGGAAGCAGGCTGTAGCGAAGGGCATTCTGGGTAAATACAACTAAAATAAACGCAAAGAGTCAAAGATGGAGGAAGAAAAGCGTTAAAACAACCACTAAAATCCACCGCTACTCTGTTTTCATTTGTATTTTGTGAAGGAGGAAATTGTGCTCATGTCTTCTTCTGAGGTTTTCATTTCCTTCAGTGGTTCTTGGTGCAGCGCCACCACAGGCGAAGGGGGTGTAACAGGTTTGTCAATTAATTTCAATGCAGTGTTAAAGTGAGTGGCAGCAGCTGAAATCGTCACAAATGTGGCAATTTTGGTCTCCAGTCAAACCGAGTTTACCGGACAATCAGGTGTGAAAACACCCTTAGACGTGTCCCTGGTTCAAATGAATCAAATTGCTGAATTACTTCCTCAGTATGCAGTCGAGTTCTGCTAATGAACTGAATATCTGACTCAGGTGTGCTGAAGCAGTGATGCATCTAAAAGTTGCAGGACATCAGCCCTTGAGGCCTTGATTTGAGAACAACTCTGCTGTAGGGAGGAAAATGTTCACCAGCTTAGCTGAGTTAGCCAAACCCTGCACAGGGAAAATGCCTCAGCAGTCAGATGGACGAATGATTCATTAAGACATGAATTACTGCCTCTGCTCAAGATGAGTCTAGTTTTTATCTTGTTGCATCCTGCCTCCTCGATTTAGTAAAGATACAAGGTGTTGAATATTTGCGTAAGACGTTACCTTCGAGAAGTTCATTTCATTGGGTGTTAGTATGAAAAAAAAAATCCTGTGTAGGTAAAACCAGATTTGCGATGTGCAAACCTGCTATTTATTACAACAGCTTGATCCAAATTTAGAGCAGCTGGTCATCATGAATCATCATAAAAAAAAAAAAAACAAACGTCTGCCATCATACCAGATTTTCTTTTTCTCCTTTTGGGAGAAAAATAAAAGAAAAATGTCCGCACCTTCATTATGCTAGCAACAGAAGCTGGAGGTTCACAATGTCGCCTGTAAATAAACACACGCAGTAGCTGCTCGTGAGCTCCTTGTCACTGTTTGCAAACACCGAACATACTCTATATTAGCTCCGATAGCTTGATGTCTGGGCAACTTCAGGAGGCCGTCTGTGCCTAAGAGGGCTGTGTGCGGGCGTGTGTTTGCGTGTGTGTGTGCGTGCGTGCGCGGGCAGGATTAAGCCCTCATTCTCCGCGGCTCAGGGAGAGCATGCTGATGGCGAGGTCGCCGATTATGGCTGGGTCATGTGGCGTCACGAGCATGTGCGCAGCCGCTGCAGCAAAACAAACATGCGGCGCGTTTCCGGTTGGATTTCACGGTGGGATTTAACTGTATTTATTTCTGAAACGGTGTCCAGGCTAACCTGCTGCTTCATTTGAATGCTTTCTGGATTTTGACACCGGTTAGCTCTGGCCCTCACCCTGCCAAGTTGTAGTGACGTTTTCACATTTAAACCTCACAGCGGGGGAGGTGACGCTGTGTTTTTAACCTGCAGGTCTGTGGAGGGGAAAGGGTAGCAAACCTTTCATTACAAGTTTTATTTTTAATGTTTTTTCTTGTTCTGTATGAAAGTCTTGCATCGCTGCTGTAGATATGTATTTTTTTTAGCCTATAATGACAAGTGATCTCAAATTTAAAGAAAATCTGCCTGGTTCTGAAGCCGAATAATCTAGCATTTCACAAAAAATAGTATTTGGACATGTCCGTGTTTAGGTCACAAACACAAATCACGCAGCTACTGCATACAGCTACTCACTATATTAACAGGTTAACTAATTCTACGTTTCACACAGTGATGGCTTTAGCTTCATCTTCCAGCAGTACGATGATTATTCTCACCTTGAGGCAACAGTGGCACTGAAGAAAATCCTAAAGAAGAGCTGGGATTAGAGCTGCTTGGTGTTTTAGTGGCTGATGTCTTTCACTTGCTCGTATTAAAAATTGCTAAAAATAAAAAAGTATATTGTTTTCTCACCTTGTCTTTGTGGTGACCCATGATTTCTGGAGGCAAAAAGTGTAGAAACAAAGTAGATTAAGATAAAATGTCAGCGATCATTAGTGTGTACATGCCAGATTCATGGTTAAGATCTTAATCTTTATCTTTTATAGAAATTCAGTATAAGCAGGAAGTACAGATTCTTCTCTGCTCTGTAAAAAAAGAAAAAAAATGCAGTTATATCGTCCTTACTTTGATACTTTCAAGAATAAAACTTTGGAGGAACTATAGGGGAAAAACCGCAAATGTCCATATATATATATATATATATATATATATATATATATATATGCTTATAATATATGTAGAAATTGAGCCATGAAACACTATTTTGCCGTAATTCAAAGGAGACGAGGAATTAAAACAAATGTTACAAAGTTTATAGTTCAGCTTGTGACAATCCACCAGATGATTTTCAGATTCAAAGGAGCAGCATGCTGAGGTAACCCTGAGAGAACTGCAAGTTGTTCACAAGCTCCATACTTCCTGAAACGATCCATCAATAACCAAGCTGCAGTTTGTCACACTACATATTACACAATAAATGTGTCATAAGTTGCTCTCGTCAGCTGTGTGACCATGGGAAAACTCTTATTGTTCTGATGTATGGCACTGGTGAAGAAATTGTCATGTTTTTGTTGTTTTTGTTTTGTTTTTTTGTCTGCTTGTTGAGCTTCAGCTCTATATCTGATTTGGCCAAGTTTGTTTGCTTCCCACTCCTGAAACTGTGTCTGAGATTCAGTAGACCTTTGGGCTAGAAAACAAAACAAAACTGGTTTCAAGAAAAACATCCAATAAGACTGGAGACGTGCTGCTACAGGTAGGAGCGTTGGAACGTTGGCTTGATTATCACGTCGATGAAAACACTAAACGCCACTTAGTGGGGCCGCAACGGGTTCGCAGGTCTGGAAACCCATTATGGTGGATGATATGTTTCCGTCTGTCCCAGTATGTGTGGAACAAATCTAATAAGCCACAACATGTGCTGCGTATATGACTTTTTTTTCACTTGTTAATCTAAACCTTTGGACCTGAGCTTTATGATGAGTTCATAGGTCATGTGATGTCATCTGCTACTTCCTCTTTTTTTTTTGAGTAAATGTCTCATTGAAAACTCACGAAAAGTGAATCCAGCCTTAACCAGAGGTGGCGGTAAAGCAACCATAAACCACAACGTGTTGGCAATTTGGCAGCCCCGCTACTTTGCCCTCTTTTGACTTATGACGCCGTCAGGCACAGAAATAAATGTAGGTCACCAGCATTTGCAGTGTAGAATGGACAAAAACCCAAGGAAATGGATGCAAATCTGCCCCGTATGCTGGCTGATCTTTGCTGTCAGACAGAGCTTTTATTTTATTGTAGGCAAGAAAACTCGAAATCTGCAACACATATTGTTCCAGGTTGCGATGTGGTTTTAGACGAGGCCTTCTGATGTGAAGATAAGAAACCGGGATAGGCTGGCGGCACTCATCCTACTGCTGAATTATTGAAGTACACGCTGCTTTCCTCTTACTGCACACGGGCAAGAGTTTAAGATTGGTCCCTCACGTTGCTTTTTTTTCCTCTTTTTTTATTTTTTTTAACTTCCATTCCTCAAGCAGTTTTCCTTCATGTCTCGTTTCATCCTCAGCGTTCTCTCCTTCTCTCTCCCTTTCTGTTTTGTCTTGTTCTCCTCCCTTTGTCTCGTAATCTCCTGCCCTCTCCTTCTTCTCTCCGAGCCGCAGCATCACAGGCCACACAGGCGAGCAAGCCGTTTGTGTGTGGTGTTTTTTTTTTTTGTTTTGTTTTGTTTTTTTAGTTTTCAGCCTTTTTGTGCACTCTCTCTTGCTGTAGGCTCACTGGCGAGGGGGCAGATAAACGTGGCTGTGCCGCGCTGTCAATGTTTAATGGGACAACAGTGAATATTTAATGATTGAGAGAATGGTAGAGCTGGATATGGAAATGGAAAGATGTAGGTCTGGACACGGTCAGGGCTGTACAACAGTCAGTGGTTCTTCTCGTCTTCCCACAGGGTGGAAACATTCCTCCTTCATCAGGGCGTTTGATAAAAACAAAACCTCTGGGCTTTGCAATACTCTCCTAATGACCTGAAGAAAAAGACAACATAAATAGAAAGTTAAGTTTAGACATCACTTCTCATCATGTCCAAAATAGAAATTTTAAAATGTCAAATTAGGAGATTTTGTCAACATCGGCATCACCAAGTGTCGATCACACACACACACACACACACACACACACACATCAACAAAAAAATTACAATCTTCACCAGCTCTGCAGAATGTGTTGTATCAGAGTTAATATCTGTATCTCTGATCATGGAATTAATGAACATCTTGGTTGCGATATTTGTATCACAAGTGCAAATGTATTCAAATTATGCATGTCAGGAATATAACTGGCTTTAACTGCCCTTGATGCCAACACCTGATGTAGGTCTTTAGAAGCTCGTCACAATGGTAAGGACACCGTGACGAGGGAACGGAGTCGTAATTATAATCTACATCGTCTTTTCAATATTCAGTGTTGGTACACTTCCTGCGTCCTGATTCTGAAGTTTACTCACACAAATTTACCTTCGATCTAATTTGAGATTTTAAATCTTTAAAGGTTTAACACATAATACCGACAGCATAGGATAAATTGATGAAGGCTCTTGTTGTGAGGTTTTTTTTGTTATGTCGATATTTCCTATCTGAATCTGCAGAACAACCACAGCCTGCTGCTGAAGTTTGCATGTAATTTGTAGCTTTTGAATGAGGGCATTTAAAGGGCTATTTCACTTTTAACGTACCTTTACAGAATCTAAGTCATCTTTTAATCAAAAGCATATCTCTGTTAACAGAAGATGACTAAAATATATTTTAGAAACTTCTAAAATAGTCCACATGTACATAATGAAACCTTGTCTTAAACCTTTAAAATGTCTTGATTGCTTTTAGATGGTTGATGACACAAAAAATTAGTTTTCACAAATATAAAAAAAAAAAGGACGATTACAAGTCAATCACCTGACAGTCTGACCTCTGAACAAAAAGGGGTCAATTATCAGGGATTATTTGTTTACCATGTGTGACATCTTAAAGTCTTTGAAATTAAGTATGTTTCTCATTATGGAGATCATGAAAGTTATCAAATTTGAATGGAGAAAAGTCCTGACATCATTAGTAAACATCCCCATGTGATACAAATAATTATAAAGTGGTGGAAGCTTTTATAATGGTTTTCTGAGAACTGTCAGCCTGATGGAGATAAACCTATTGGTCAACCATGTCAACTCAACAGGGCAACTCTAGAACGACTTCCTTCAAAATCAGAATCTCAAACTAACTTTCATATCCAGGCCTTGTAATAATTATAATGATGTCATCAGACAGACCCACATTTCTATCCACCTGCAGCTTTGATTAGACACAGCGGTGGTCATGTGCGCTGTATTTATATGTATACATGGTGACGTGTTCAAGCTGTTTTGGTTATTATCTGCAGCATAACGCCGTTTCCCAAAGGCAGACTTGTTTTCATAAAGATTATTCATTGCAATAGTATCAAGAATGAAATGGCAATAAAAGCAGGCTTTGCTCACGGGAGAGGCATCCAGCCGTAATGTGACAGTCAGAGTTTGAGTCGCTTCGTGTTCGACGGTTTAATCTCTTTACGCCGAGCCTGGGCTCATATTGAGACGCTTTGCATTTTGTATTTCTTTATTGTTTTATTATTTATTTATTTATTTATTTTATTTATTTTTTACTGCCATGCCTCACGAAGGTTTACCTAAAGTTTAATATGATCCTTTCCTCTGCGGTGGTGTGTCTGATGCATCTATCTAGGTTTTATAGAAGCTGAAGCAGCTTTTAATCAAAATTAATTAGCATTTTAGCATCGGTGACAATAATAAAAACAACACTACTAAAAGCAACAATAAAAATAATAGCCTTTTAATGTGCTAAAATTTATTTGGTGGTCATATACATGCAGAAGCTGAAATAATTTAGTCTATAAATGAAATTGTTGAGGCTGTAAATAAACATAATATCCTAATTATGAGTAGTTTTCTGTGAGTTATTCTTCTGGTGCTTTTCTTTAACTGCATATCAGGTTACATACTCTTTAAATTTGGTTACGCAGAGTCAGCAAGTCTAGATTAAAATTCTTCTAATTTTATGTCTTCCTGAGATCTGGAGCACATTTGCAAATACATCAGAGGTGTGGACTAATAATAGCTTGCCAAATATTTATTTAGCTTGCCTTTTTTTTTTCTATTTTGACACATTACAAACACAAAATGTAATGTATTTTAGTGGGATTTTATGCAATAGATCCACACAATGGAGGGTATCAATTTCCTCTAACAGCTGCTACTGTTGTGCAACGCTGGTGGAGACAAACCCAAGTAGAGACTTTGATTTCATGTTTCTGTGCAGAGCAGTTCAAGCTCAGTCAGGTTAGATGGAAAGCAGCTGTGAACAGATATATTTTAATAACAGCCACAGATTCTCCATTGGATTTCGCTCTGCTCTCTGAATGGGCTTGTCTAATATAAACTTCTGGCTGTATGTTCAAGGCCGATGCCCTACGGGGAAGGCAAACCTCCACCACAATGTAAAGTTGTTGTGTTTTTTTTTTTGCAGGTTTTTTTCAAGGATAATTCAGTATTTTGTTCTGTTCACAGTATTTAACCTGCAAGTTTTTATATATATATATATATATATATATATATATATATATATATATATACTTGTGCCTTTTGTTATTTGTTTTTCCCAGCTCCTAGCCAAGCAGTGCATTTCCATGATAACTGCTAATTTACATTTCATGCAACAGACAGCCAAAATTGCATAACATGGTCACGATATTCCCAGTATGTCATCCTGCAGGATTTAATGCAGTCAGATTAACTTAATCTTTTCAGAATCCCTCTCATAGTTGGTAATGTCAACATAAATGTTTTTCATCTCCAGCATCTGTTACTTTTTCGTTACAATATCCAAAAGCAACACTGAGGGAGCTGTTGGCTTATTACGTCAGATTCATAGATTCTTGCCAAAAATTATTAAATAAAGACAACCCCCCCCTCCCCCCCCCAAATTGATTTTAGTCTTGTCTTGATCTGAAGAGTTATGAATTATATTTTTTGACTCTTGTACCTGTTTTGTTGTCTTATTTTCCATCCACCTGTCCGTCCGTCCATGGAGAAGACATTAGATACATGCAGTGACATTAAATGATTGTTGGTTTCAGTCTTTTGCCTGAAAATAAAAAATGGATGCAGATTTACGTTAAAAACCTCACGTGAAATCACCATCAAGGTTGGAGAAATATTTGACAAGATGAAGTGAGATGTGGAGAAGCTTTTCTTTTTTATTATTTTTTTAGGAAAAAAAAGAGAAGAAACTAAATGAAAAATATAGTAAACTTTGCCCTGTTATAGTAACCTCCATCTTTGTCAAGTTTTCTTTTTCCTTTGTTCAGTAATTTGTTCATTATACGAGGGCTACTTTGAAAACCAGATTATCTTGTTGCTGTTTTTTTTTTCCCCGTTTTGTTTTTTTAACCAATGCATTTAAAAGTCGGTGTAAAGTACAGACAAACCCATTTAAAAAATGGAATAAAAAGACCCAACCCACACAGAAACACAACCCATCAATCTGTTTCAATATTTGCTCACCTTTTGTTGCCATTCCCAGTTGGTGCTCTGCAGAGAGCAAAGCTGTTTTCCCAGGAGGAGGATGTTTAACCAGACAGACACACACACACGCCCACAGATCATCGCAACTTCACACACATTGTGCTTTTCTGTTTACTGGCCTCTCTGTGATGTCTGTTTAATAGGAACAAACGACACCTCGCCTCGCCTCCACTTAGATCTGCTCTGAAGCTCCAACAGCTGATAATGAATATGCTCAGCAGAGTCGAGTGTGTGGCGGCCACATTATTTGGTTGAAAGTGTTCACTCCCGCAAACTGGCGCAACCATCAGCTCGGTGGGTGCTTTTGTGTCTGCTTCCAATGTTACAATCTGAACAGCCTGTTATATTAGGAGTCTCTCATTCAGGTCTCGCTGCTTTTATGCACTTCTGTGCCAAAAGTTTTTTTATGAAAGCTGTTTTGAATGAAGAGCAGCCTCCATCTGCTCACCGACAGATAACATTTAAAACGATCTGAGGCAATTTCCAAGGCAGCCAGATGTCTGGTGTTTGCAGTCCTGCAACGCTGCAGGATTGTTGGGGATTGAAATGCATTTCATTTTTGCAGCTGTTTAGGCTACGTTTGTTAAATTCTTACATTATATTTAAGTTGGTATGTAGCAGATTTTAACCTGTGGGCCATGTTTTGTCAGCTGCAAGTAATTTTGTCTCGGTTCAAGTTTCAAAACGGAACGTCAAGGTTGAGTTTGTCTTAAGCTGAGTCTCAAGTCTTTAAGGAAAAGGTTACAGTCAGGTTTTGAGTTTTTCTCCCAGTCGCCAGTCTCAATTTTTTTAGGGGCAAGTCCAACTCGAGGCTTTTAAAGTCTTTTAAAAGACTTTTAAATTCAAGTTTTTCTCGGTTTACATCAAGACTCAAGTCTTATATCACAAATACAATTTAAATCTCAACTCTTTAAGGGGAAAGTCTAAGTCAGGTTTCAAGTCTTTTGCCCCAAGTCAGAGTCTAGTCTCAATTTGTTAATGGAAAATGTCAAGTAATGTATTTTTATATCAGTTCATATCATGTCTCACATATATTTGACCCCAAGTCAAGTCTAACTCAAAATCAAAGATCAAGTTTTTTAGAAACAGTTGCATGCTAAATCTTAGATTTTTTTCTTTTTACATAAAATCAAATCTTAAAGCTGCAACATGCGCCTTTTTATAAAAAAAAAAAAGTAGGGAAAGGTCTTAGTGCTGTCAATCAATCTTGTGAACAGGCTGTATTAGTGACAGAGAAACGACTAGCCTAAGCATTCATGTCAGGCTGCGCTGTGTAAAAGGTGTAGCGCAGCAGAGAAAAAAGCAGTGCAGATAGTTTGAGCAGCGCATACATTAGCATGTTTGACAGCACTAAGACCCTCCTCCTGGCTCTGATTGGTTGTTACCGACCGAGAGATGTGCATTTCTTCAGATGGCTGACATTTTTTTTTTTTTTTTTTTTTTTTTTTAAAATTCTTCCCGGGTTTATATTTGTTTAAAAAAAACAGGGGTT